CGTGTTGTTATAATTTGCAAGCTCGTTTTCAGGAAGTTTAATCTATTGTGAAGTCAAACACGAGTTTTTATAATTACCTTCCCACCATGTTTCGAGAATATATGAAGTAGATACGACACCAGCTTTGTCAGTCTTTCATAAAATGGATTTTAATTGTAATTCTAAAATCCAGCAGATTTTTCAGTTGTGACTTTCAATAAGTAAACATCAGTAGAACTAGGATTTCGAGTATTTTTGACAAAGAGAAAATTAATATTAATAACAAACGCTAATTTTAGCTGTCAATCCATCAAAACTTAATAATCTAGGCGTGCATTGAACGTATATAATTATCATTCATATAGGGGATCAGTTTTTGAGAACATACAAAAAATATTTTAATGGAAGAAAATATTCAATGAAAAAAGTTAAGCCTGAATACACTTGAATTATTCAATGTTAGACATGGACCAGTTTCTAACTGGTTCCTAGACTCAATATGTTATTTCTTTTAAATTTCAAATCAATTCTGAAACTTATGTCAAACCAGGAAATATACAAAAAGAGCCCAAATCCCCTTTATATTTTAACAGTTCTGTCATATACAGAGCAAACAAAGAAAAATGCTCTTCACTTGGTAAAAAAGTAAAAATAATATAGAATAAAATGTTTAATATATTGCTAGATAAGTTGCATTAAGAGAGAATCGTAGAGAATATTTTTTCCTGTATAATAGGCAGTTATTTCTTGTATTATAGCGGAAAAAATATAATACGTATTTTTAATCAGCTCATGATTGATACCAGCTAGTTTATTCTAATTCACCATTTCGGAAACTAAATTAATGAAACCCAGCAAAACTATATTCCTTAAACTTTATAATATTCTTGGTTGAGGTCGAGGTAATGTAACACCCTCATACAATGTTCAATTTTAAATTGATTTCTATAAACATATGTTTCAGGTAATTATATTGACCGTTGGTTCGGTATACAAACGGATTTATACGCTTTCTTCAAACTTCAACATTAGATTGATCTCATTTGAATTTGACCAACTAAAAAGTGTAAACTTGATTGTTTATAGTATGGTAACTCATTTTCTTGACATGGAATTGTCTGTTAATTTAAGTTAATTAAAACGCTGATATCCACATCCTTTCCACGTGTGTTACAATGATCATCTTGCAGTCAATATACATTTTGATTAACATTCTAAAAAATAATAAACAGAAATTAACTTATGAATATTTGTTGGTGGGCCAGAATTAATTAAAATATAATAACAAATAAAGGTCCCCTGTTTATGATGTTCAAGTAGCGGAAGGTTCTTTTCATTTGCTGATTTCTGCATCATGACATGATTTTCTGACTGCATATAAAGCACCCTGTCAAATTTCGATTTTTCTTTTTTACCTGCCATAACTGTATTATAAACGCGAATCACAGATGTCCACCATCAACTCAAAGTCCTTTGCGCACAATTTCCGGTTGTCCAATGCAACAAAACATTAAAATTGATAAACACTTGACCAATCGCTGACCAATTGATGACATTTGTCTGTATCAAAGACATGTTCTTCAATTCTGGTAATATCAAACTATATACACTAATTGTTAATATTTGATTATCTGGACTTTAAATTAACTGTAGCGAGAGAATCCTTGTAAGGATTTCAAAGAGCTAACGATGGCGTTCAATTGAGCGGCATAATCCCAATTCAAATGTATGCCATGTTGTCTGATTTAGATGTTTGGCATCATCAATCTTAGTTATATTAGCTATAGTCATCCATTCTTCATATTGTCTTTACAAACAAAAGAATCGTCCGTAACACAGGTTTCCAGTCTTAGTTTTCTCGACATATGTTTTATCTCAATTTTACATATATGAATAGCAATATAAAACCATTCATGTGAAAGAGCACATCAAAGACGAGATCAATTGTAATTAAGCAATTCACTTACTATATGAAATATATCTGTCTCTAGTCACATTAAGATCACGAAACTAAACAATCGAAATGTATCTCCTTTTTATATTTTTCACGTTTTGCAGTAATTGTTAAATTACATTTTAAGAAACATTTATGAATTGCATTCCTTATAAGGTTTATGAATAACTTAATTATAAAGGGACAACCCTATCTGATGGGAGAAAAATTAAAAACCTCAAACGTTTTATCTTATCTTTTTTAAATATGATGATATACTTAATACCCTATCCATCATAGTTCTGCGTATTGACACGTCAACTTGTGACACAACAGAGTATGTCTGCTTGCCGTATCTCTAAACTTTTGTCTCATTTACTAACGGTAATTGCTTGATTGCATTTTTTGCATTTCATTAGCTGTTTGCTACTTTATGTTAACAATTAAAAAGTTAAAAACCTATTGACATATATATATGATATGATATTAAGGATGCCTCAGATGTATAATCCTACATATTGCATTTCATCCTTCGTAAGGTACAAGGGTGAGCCAAAAGGTGTAATGGCAATAAAAGCGTGGTGATTGGGAAAGGACCAATGAAACTAAGTAGGGTGAAAGAACATTTAACAAGGTTAAATTGTGCAAAATGAAATTTAAAATCCATGCTGGATAACTGAGTTATTAACATGTATTTGGGTTACCCTTTTCTGGCTCACCCTGTATATATTACTCATTTGTAGCTGCTAATTTGGTATTTGGGTTTGGTTTGTACTCTCTCATATATATTTATCTTAGCGATATTCATCATATGTTAGATTATGTAATAATGGTCAAGAATCCACCAATCAGTAGTCTCAAAATTATAGTTTTTCAAATAATATTTGCAACCGTTTTGAGACACATATGGAAAACAGCTGGGACCCATACACCAAAATTGAGTATGCAAAAGGAGTGTATGAAACATTTCTCCAGAAAGATAATTTTTGGAAAAGTTTTAATGAACCTTAGTGACTCTCGATTTTACTGTTACCCCAATTAAGATAATTAAAATGTATCAACCGGAAAGTAATTTACATTTAAAAATATTTGGGTCAACTAGAACTCAATAACCATTCAATTTCTCAACGCAATCTTGCGTGTCAGTTTAAAAAACATAACGATGACCAAGGAGTATAAGATCAAATTTCCTATTACTAACCAAGCATTAATTGACTGATTTGAATTATCAAATTAAAAAGCCTACCTGAATCACGAGTGTGCATACCACATAGACATCAATCGTAGGTTTGGAAATGTAACAATTGCATGCTGCTGACATGGCCAACAAAGGAAAAACAATAGACAATTGGTAAATTGGAAAACTCTACAGAAAAAACAATAACCACATGTTAACAATTTGACACCTCAGATCCCAGCGAAGATAAGTAGTCACTTGATGCATTACTTTTGGACGGAATTGAGAATTAGTATGAGGACTCACGAAATTCCTCAAAAGGGATGTTGGCATCTACACCATTGAAGCACGTGCGGTGGGCAGCAACCATATACTGAATGTCAATATTCGGCATAAACCATTGTAGCGTTTGTGTTGATGAATAGCCTGTAAAAATTATAAGTCAATCCCAAAATACTCTGAAATAAGATTCAAATATATTATGCATTGTTCAAATATGTTGAGAACTGAACATTTCCTTTGAAAGGTTTTGGCTTACTCAATCGATTTTAAGTTATAATATATTTTCAAGATTTCTATCATTTCTCGGGAAATCAGTTTTGTCGCTCTCTATTTAGATCTGCAACTGGTTACCATAAAGTGATTTTAGATATAAAATATAATTTTTGCATCAAGTACATAAAATCACCAACACTCCTGCCATACTTACCCCAAACAATGCATTTGAAAGAGAATTTGGAAAACATACTCTGAAAGTCGGAGGCAAGTAGTTGTTTCTGTGTTAACAAAGTTCTCTTTTGAAAACCGAAGTATTGAAAAGGAAAGGGGAAACACGTGCAGTACTTATACTTTTCCAGAATGTTTGTCTTTCCTTAAATTGGTGGCTAACATATTGGCGTTGTTGCAAATTACGGCAAGAGTAAGAAATGCCGAACTATTGTAATGTCCTTTTCTTAAATCAGGGTATTCATTATATTTACTAATAGATGTCACCACCTCCCTGACCAGGACAGAAAGCACGCAGAGTAAAGCAGCCAAATATTAAAATTATGACAGTGTCGAACCAAATGGTGACGTATTGCTTCTATTTTAGTGACTTTTAAGCAAAATATCCCTATTTTAATAATGTTTGTTGTTAAGGACCTATTTGATGTGTTACTTTTAAGTGGAGTACATATTTAGTGTACAGTTATTTTTAGTCAAGCACTCAAATATGAGTGGTAAGATATTTACCAATCAGTTAAACAATAGAGGGGTTTAATTTTCTACTAAATCGTATGGATTTGCCATTGAATGCATATTGTGGTAATTTTACATCATAACGTTTCAGAATCGTAAGCACCGTTTGAAGAAACTTTAGGTTTATGTTGACCAATGAATTTGATATTCCAAAGCCAAGACTAGGATGAAGAAGATCTTTCTTCTTTCTTCATCCCAGGCGAAGCTTATATACTAACTGATAATTTGAATACGACCAATAACAATAAGATACTTTCACAACCAATGTAAAAAACACCCATTTAACATGTTTGCCAGAACGTATCATTTGCATAATAAAAGGAGCGATGGCATGCGCATACATCTGACAATGCGTTACGAGTTTTAGAAACGTTTGGGAAAAACGATGTGCACGATTTGCCATGCATCCTTATGTAGTGGCAAAATTATTATATCATCAATAGATGGCAGGAGCTGACAGACCATTGCACATCGAGAAGATGAATGTTGTTGTATATATGAAGGAAAAACAAGTCATGGCATATAAAGATGTCAGTCAAACCATACATTTACTTCAAATGCGATCGTACAATCCAGATATCTAGATTTGCTTATTGGGCAATTCGTGACAAGGAAAGGTTTTTAAACTGTATGGAAGAGAATGATTGATAGGAAATACCTATTGCAAAAATAAACTTTGGTAATAACATAATCGTATTTAGGGAACCACCATGTAGAACAATTATTTAAGCATTTAAGCCCTGGATTCAGTGCAATGTCGAATGATCATTCCTTGAAGGTGTTGCTTTCCGGCGTAGAGCATTGATTGTTATTTTAGGAAACACCGCCTGAAAGGAATGGTCATTACACAATGCATTGAGTCTTGAAATATTAAACGATGTTTTATTTTGCTATTTTTATTCTATCACACAGTGTATAACCATATGACCTTCAATGCTTCTTAAGGTTACTGGTGTGAATTTATATATTTTTACATACTATTTACTTAATTGTTTTTACTGATAAAAAGTTGTTGAAAAACTGAATAATACTGGTAATATACAGGTTCATCGACTACAAGTGTTATATGCTATACAAGCTGCCGATAAAATGTCAAATGAGTTCCGATAAGGCTTGTTTTCAAAATGTAGGTCAACCTGTCTGAACATTGTTTTCTGAATTTTTAAATGTCATTGCTTGAGTCGATCAGTCAAAATACACAGCAGCAGAGAATATTATGTGACAAGAGTTTTGTTGCGAGTTTTGATTTAATCATATCAAATATTGCAGTTTCCGTTTGTTTTTTCGGTTTTATTATTCGACTTCCTCTTCTTCTTGCTCATCTTCAAATTCGCCCTCCTCCTCTGCTGTAGCATCCTGGTATTGTTGGTACTCAGAAACCAAGTCGTTCATGTTGGACTCGGCCTCAGTGAACTCCATCTCGTCCATACCCTCACCAGTGTACCAATGGAGGAAAGCCTTGCGCCTAAACATAACTGTAAACTGTTCAGAGATGCGTTTGAAAATTTCCTGGATTGCCGTGTTGTTCCCAATGAAAGTAGCGGACATTTTGAGACCTCTTGGGGGAATATCACAGACTGCAGTTTTCACATTGTTTGGGATCCACTCCACAAAGTAGCTGGAGTTTTTGTTTTGAATGTTCAACATCTGCTCGTCGACCTCCTTCATGGACATGCGCCCCCTGAATAAACAGGCAACCGTCAGGTAGCGTCCGTGGCGAGGGTCGCATGCGGTCATCATATTCTTAGAGTCGAACATTTGCTGAGTGAGCTCGGGGACGCTCAGGGCACGATATTGTTGACTACCTCGAGATGTTAGAGGAGCGAATCCGGGCATAAAGAAATGCAAACGTGGAAAAGGGACCATGTTGACAGCAAGTTTACGGAGATCAGCGTTCAACTGACCTGGGAAACGAAGACAAGTGGTGACACCAGACATAGTTGCAGAGACGAGATGGTTCAAGTCCCCGTATGTTGGTGACGTTAATTTAAGGGTTCTGAAGCAAATGTCATATAGAGCCTCGTTATCGATGCAGTAAGTCTGGTCTGTGTTTTCCACAAGTTGGTGAACGGAAAGTGTGGCGTTATAAGGTTCAACAACGGCGTCTGATACTTTTGGAGAAGGGAATACGGAGAAGGAATTCATCATTCTGTCTGGGTACTCTTCGCGAATTTTGGATACCATCAGCGTTCCAAGACCAGAGCCAGTGCCGCCACCTAGTGAGTGAGTTAACTGAAACCCCTGGAGACAATCACAACTCTCGGATTCTTTACGGATGACATCAATCACACTGTCAACTAACTCAGCGCCCTCTGTGTAATGTCCCTTAGCCCAATTATTACCAGCCCCACTCTGCCCAAATACAAAATTGTCTGGTCGGAATATTTGTCCGAATGCGCCTGACCGGATGGAGTCCATTGTTCCGGGCTCGAGATCAACCAACACGGCCCGAGGCACATATTTACCACCGGTTGCTTCGTTATAATAGACGTTGATACGCTCCAGTTGGAGATCAGAGTCTCCATGGTAAGTTCCGGTAGGATCAATCCCATGTTCATCGGAAATCACCTCCCAGAATTTCGATCCAATTTGATTCCCACATTGTCCAGCTTGTACATGTACTATTTCTCTCATGGTGTAGAAAGGTTAGTATGGCCTCGGATAACTATGTAGTGGTAAGTCTGGACTAATTATAGGCAGCTGATTCCTCTTGGTATTTACTTAGCTCTATTTCGCAACGAGTGAACAAACTATGCAATTTATAGTATCCACGCGGCAGTATCAGAGTTTGTATCTACATGTGATTCACCACAGCTTTCAAGTACATAAACCTTTGGACTATAGCTATTCCCCAGGGACTATTCGACAACTGCAGTTATCGTTATTTAAGAATATCCTCTGCAAGGCACGTTGCTGTCTAACTAATAAATTATCTACTAGCCTTACGATGAAAAACATGAGAATGTTTAGTAATTGCCATTTGATCATTTGAAAATACAGGGCATATTTTTAGCTTCCTTCAATATCGGGTATTGATTCACTGTCCAAATTCATGGATTGAAATACTCTTGGACCAAGGATGCATGCATTTCCAGTTGGTTGCCATGTTATAAATTTTACACAGGAAGTAAAGATTATTAAGTTTGCAGATAGCAGGTAAGATATCTAATGTAAGACGCAGAACCCAGCTGAATACTCTTTTTTAATTATGTGTCTATGATTTATATTCTAACCGCAATCTCTTCGTTTATTCTAAGTTGACAATACCAAAACATAGTTTTGCATAGAAAGTAGGGACCAATTATCTGGGGTGATTTTGTGCTAATTTCTTTACTGTAATGGGCAAAAGTTTAAAGTATATAAAATCACTTCCTGTGTGAAATCTTAAAAGATGACAGCCAACTGGAAATTTAAATGAGCCCTGCATTTTAAATTATCAATATTGACCACATCAAAACATTTTCCCGTGTTTTGCTAACTATTGTAGGGATAACATATGAATGGTTGAAAGCCCATGATTAAATCTACCATATCAAGAGAGAAATGGATCGGACTTGCAAGGCCGGAATGTTCCTTTCACGACCGATGGCCATTAGCCATAGGATGCCATTAGAGACTGTCCTTTAAGATGATACCCCGTGAATACAGAATTTGGTATGTCTGGCAAGATATAAGTAGCACTAAAGCAACTAGTATTGAACAGAAATCTCAAGTTCAAAGTTGAAATCATTATTTGATATGCAGGTGATGGCCGCCATATTAGATGGATGAAAATGACGATAACGAATGTTGAATGTGCGAATACATTATGTATATAGATAACGAGAAATCAAAGGTTCTGTGAATGGTATACGTGGAGATAGATACGTATAAATGATGTCATCTTTGTGCTATATCAGGACATGACAGAGATCAATTGGAACAACAAAACATTGGCCTGACAACAAAATTTTACTCCATAGATTACATTGTCAAACATACATGCATATCACAACTGAACCCCCCAAAATAATAGAAACAAATTATTACATGCGCAATGACGCTGTTACGCGGAATATGGCATACATTCATGGTTGCGCGGTATTTGTGATACGGGTAAATATGCCATACTCACCCGCAGTATATGGCATATTCCGCAGGTGGGTATGCGGTATTCCGCAGTGAATATGCGATACATTGAGTTCAGTGAATATCCGATACCCACTTGCGGAATATGTCATACTCACTTGCGGAATATGCCATATACCACAGGTGAATATACCACAGGTGAATATGACATATTCTGCAGGTGAAAACGTGGTACAGAAAGCCTTGATTTGATTGGTTGCAAGAATCGACTCTAAATGTAAAACTACGCTGGATTACCAATATAGTTGGTGCGTCGAGTACTAATATATGAATCCTGGATTGATTGAGTAGGTTTATTACGTGAGATTGGTGAGTGATACTTCTGCATTAGTTGATATATTCGATACCCTGTACTGTTGATTCAGTAATCATCATAATAATTAATCATTATAATAATATATAAGTTTTACTTTTTCGTTCAATCGATGCAATTGACAATTGCGTACTTCCGTATCACGTTCTCATTGGTTAGTGTGTATGCCATATACCGTAGGTGAATCTGTCCTACACCGCGAGTGAATATGCCGTATTCGTTGCGGAATATGGCATATTTTTGTATTGTGTTTACCGCGTAACAGACGCCACTATTACACTAGGAAAACAATAATTTCAAATAAAATTCAACCTTTTTAGTCTATCCATTCTTAGATTCTTATATGGATGACTTCCTCTACGCATCACTATGCTCATGCAAACAAAAGGGCAACATTTCAAAATGTTAGATTTAGTTTCTTATCAAATAAAACAATTTCAATATCTCTGTATGCTCTAGAAATAATTCTACGACATCTGATAAATCGGTACAACAATTAATGTTAAAAGCTCAAACATATTTTGTGAAATGTGGCTCGATCGAGAGCTTTCTCTGAATCTCCCAATAACACTGGGGAGTATCGTGATGCAACAACACCGTGTTGTTGCATCAAGATGGCCAGACTTCCGGTGATAGATTTTCGTACGATATGTTGTTTCCCCAATTTAAACCCATTTCTAGGACGAGTTTCTAAATAACCATACACGTGAAGTTAGCACACGATCTATATTTAAAGAAACTGTCATTAGTATACATGTAGCATCATCAAGAAGCAAGAAGTCCACGGTTTTAGTTCCTCACTATTGATGCAACAACACCAAACCGAAGATGCAACAACACTCCTCTAGATTTGAGCAATGATGCAACAACACCAATTAATAGTATAATTTCAGAAGACCATAAATCTCGAGAGGAACAGATTTTTAAATGCCACTATTGCAACACCGGGCCAGTACCCATTTGCGTTCTTCTCAGGCATTCAAAATACACGTCCTGCGGGCGAAGATTCTTTATATGTATTTTCAAAAATTTATACTTTTAAATATCATAATGTACTGGAAGTTGTTTTATAACATAGTTCAATCGCCTTTAACATTGCAAGCTATGGTAACCCAATCTATTATCATAAACCCCTGTTCCATAGCTTGATGACCCTGATACCAGTTAGTGTCATTCAAAATGGTGGGCAAACATCTTTCGTTGAGAGAGTTATGGCGTTTTGAAAACTCAAAATCGCTAAATTTGGTGCCCCATGTTAAGTCAATGGGAAAACTTTTTTTTTGAAGTGTAAAATACGACATATATACGACCGAGTACAGCTTAATTTAATGAAAGCCTTTAAATGAAGGGTACCTCAAAAGCAATCTAGCTTCAAAATTTGGACACAAAAATGTCTAGGTCAAAATCTAGGTCAAATTCAAAGTTTTCCTTATTTTTGTGATTCTGACACTACACTTCAATTATATTCTTCGAAATTGTGTATACATGTAGCCAAGAGTGTACTTATAGTGTTAGCCTTTTGCCGTCAGAAAGTATTTTAACCCACTTTTGAGATATGGTGTCCAAAAAGTAAAAAATAAAAAATTCTCCAAATTTAACGTTTGAGTTATGAATGAAGAATAGAATTTTCTCAGGAATCAGAATCTGCAAACCAAATTTCGATCCAGTTCGGAAGTTATGGCGTTTTGAAATTTCGAGAAAAATCGATCTGATGGTATCCTGATAGAAAGAGTAGCGAAGAAAATGTTGAAAAATCCATCCATCCTTCCATCCATCCTTCCTATCCTATCCTACTATTCTATCCTATCGTTCCATCCTATCCTATCCTGCTATCCTATCCCTTTTATCCCTATCCGTTCCTTCTTATCTATCCTTCATATCCTTTCATTCCTATCTATCTATCCTTCCTATCCTTTCCTTCCTATCTTATCCTTCCTTGCTATTCTATCCTATCTTTCTTCTCTATTCTCTCCCATCGTTCCATCCTATTCTGTCCTATCCCTCCTTCCTATTTCATCCAACCAACCATCCATCCATCAGTCCATCTTTTTCTGGATGACTCGGCTTAAAAAAGTCGAGATCTGGAGTCTGAATTTGAACTTGTTCAATTTCCAAAGTCTAGTTATATTTGTAAACAATTTCCATACGATACGGTAAATCAAGGGGATTTAATTTAGAAAATGAATAATCTTTATTTTTCAGATACAATATCAATGAGGTTGCCTCCCGGGGATTCAATACTTAGCCTATGTATTTAGTTTGCCTTGTATATCCTATTAACTTTGATAAAGACAAAATAACACATAACCAAACAAAATACGTTTCATTCATGAACCACGCACTCACGCGTTTTATTCATGTCCCGGCCAACACCTTTAAACAGAACATAAAACAGTTTCTCTTGATATTCAATGATACATTATATTGGCGTTTTTGCATCAGCACATTGGTGTTGTTGCATCATCGATAATAAACAGAGTGGTGTTGTTGCATCAATAGTGAGGAATTAAAACCGCGAATTTCTCGCTTCTTGATGATGCTACATGCATACTAATGAGAGTTTTTCAAAATATAGATCATGAGCTAACTGCATGTGTATGATTATTGAGCAACTCGTCCTAGAAATTGGTTTAAATTGGGAAAACAAAATATCGTACGAAAATCTATCACCGGAAGTCTGGCCATCTTGATGCAACAACACGGTGTTGTTGCATCACGATACCCCCCAGTGAATAAATTACTGATATAACTTTACCGTCTGAAAGTACATCAAATATACGCACTTATTGCATTATCATCTACTCGAAGATGTATGTCATTGATTTTACTCAGAACACGTAAGCTAGAATTTGCAACTGCTACCATTGTTCCATCTATTTAACGAACGGAAATGTTCTCACAATATTACTGTTCCATCTATTTACCGAACTAGAATATTTTCACAATATTGTGATTTGATATGCGTAAATCTTCACCATAGTACACCACTCCATAGAAAGATTGCCAAACGAATTTATTGTAGCTCAAAGGAAATACAAGTTGTTTTTACATAAATTCAAGTAGCCTGCAGCCTCGGGAACATGTCAGTGGACAGGATATTCCCTTGAGGAAAATATTTTGCACTATTTCCCTCAATGGCAGTCACTATTTGTACAATAATGATAACACTTTATACGTGTATTATTTCCACATTCACTCGATCAATCTTTATTTCATAGTTAAAGGATATTGTGACAAAATAGAAATGGAAAGATATTTTAGTTTCACTGAACCATCAGGTTTTTAACTATGAGATACTCTCTACGCTAGCTCGTGAGATATCATGTTCATTCTGGATAAATATCATATCCCCCATTTCCTCAAATTGAGAGATGTATTAATCTTCGTTTACCTTATGATTAATTGACAGGTTTCGACTGATCGATTCTTATGGTTCACAGATAATTACCTTTTTATATTTTATAGCTTTAATCGTGCTTTAGCTTTAACTCATTGCATTGTATGTTTCATGATCACATGTTTATGGATGCGTGCATATGGAAGAAACTTAAAAAAACAAAAAGTGTCCAAATTTTGAAAATTTAAAGAATCATAGTACTGTATGTTGTAATACAAACATAGTATATCGTAATATCATTGGCCAATATCTACATGACAAAATAAGACGACGTAATCCCTCCCCCAAGTCAGTAAAGCCAGCCTTCTGAGATAAAAGTCCCAGTGATTAATGACCGTCAGCTTATCTTCGACTATCCTAGTTTTGCTTGTTTTGCCTCACGGTGTGTTTGAATCACTTGTAAACTGACACACAAGTGCATTGTCAAATCTGTTAAGATTAAAAGTTATTATTTTATAAATGTGGCGGCCAACTGAAATGTAATACTTAACGATTTCTGATAGTCTATCATGTCAATAACTATGATGTTTAATCTTGTACTATAATCAAAAGGCCAAATAAATTCAAACGTGAACTATATAATGTATTAAGTAATACATTGCTGATACAGTACAACATATTTTACATGTATAATAGAAAAAATAACATGTTTACAAAAATGTGATTTAAAGATGACATTAAACTCATGGGGGATAGTTTCGTTCTGATTTAACAGAGCTCTCTATACCCAATGCTTGAGAGGGTGCATTCCAAGGGGCGGTACAAGCTGAATCCAACAATGTGGTAATTTGTTTCAAAGTGTTTGTGTTTTAACATGCAATCGTAATGAATGTCTGGCAATATGTGGTACTGTTTGCCGATGCATATTATTTATCATATATTATATCATATATTTTGCATATCCAAAATGTCTCGATTATATTTATAAAATAACAGCTACGGCAAATTAGTAGATTTTGAGTTATGCACGATGGCCCCAATATACAACTTTTCTCTTTATCTTAAAAAGTGGAAATATTCAAAACATTAATAATCCAATTATGAATACGATTTTATGAACCCCAATACATTGATTAAAATATCAAAAAGTAAAAGCAAAGACAATGTTAAATCAGACTAATTAATCACAGATATTAAGTACAATATGTATACGACATAACAATAGGTACAATTACATGTAGTAAAACAAGTAAAGTATATAAATATCAAACGAATTTATATTTCAACCACTCCGTTCGAACATCCTACATCAATTAACAACTAATACACCTGTCAGCTTCGAGTGATATCTCAATAACGTTGAATACGATCTCAGGTAGGGTCAACATTTACCTGCTAAATTCAAGTATTTACACGCTGTTTACTAGATAAGGAAACTTCAGTTTTGAAATGGCATCTTTGACAGATTGCAATTGTAATCACATCTTTCTACATTTATATATCTATTTTCTTAAACATATGTCAAAATTTCGATTAAAAATTATTCACAAGACATTCTTGAACGTCAGTTTAACAACCGTGAGTAGTTCGTACTTATGCAAGTGACCCTTAGTGGCACTTTATGACGTCATATGTGGCTTGGTTAAAATAGAAAACAATTTATTCACAAATACCAGCACATGTTTTCTAATCGTGCAAGAGAATCATGGTAAAGAAACATGATAAATTATAGATATTGCAGTGATCTCTGAACAATCGAAACAATTATTAGTAAACAAATTATCGTCCTATATATAAAGAACGGCTCCGTCCGTCCGTCCGGGCAATAACTCAAATACGGTTGGAGCAATATTGTTTATTTTATATGTATATTCCCCATGAGAGTACAAGTGCTAAAACACAACATTGGCTAGTGTTTTATTTTACATTTTTACTATAACTCAAAAAGTAGTGTAGCAATTTTTTTTTCAAATCTATGCCTACTTAAAAGCATATTACACTTTCTGCAGACAATTTGGCAAGCGGCTATTTTGAAAAAAGCCATTTTCTGTGTGTGTTTTACCATTTTTGCTCAAAAGTAGTGGAGGTCTTTTGTAAAATTGGCCGCCATGGTTGTAGGATATGACTTGCTCTACCTTGGCGTTGCTGTTATCTAGTTAATACTCAGTCACCAACAGTAAATATTTACAAATGCCAGCTCATTGTATCTCAGTGAGATAGATCAAACAAATACTACGTATACATTTGGACTCCGTAAAGTCATCTTTACATCGGTCTAAAACCTATGGTCTGTCAGAATCAGTGATATTGGCTGTGGTCGGAGAATGGGTTTAATATAAGTTTGTGGTCACGATAATATACAGACTAATGGTGTGGTGTGTATGCTTGATTATGTAACGTTGATTTGTATGAGAGCGGATCTGTTGTCATGCTTTACTTAAGATGCGAGTGTTTGTTTGTGTTTTTTATTCCATTCTTTTTAATTTATTTATTTGGAAAACATCATATTTAAAATACAAAGGAGATAAAACATATAATGCATAAAAGCAACTAAAACATGCATACAACCATTGTGCTAAGTGCATAATGCATATGCCCCACAAGGAGAGTTGCAATTGGTGGTTGCAGTTTGCCACAACGTTATTAAAACAAACTATTCCCATCGCTACAAAAGTAGGGACAGACAAAACGCCTACTCTGTATATATATATATATAACATTGCGATTACAAACATCTTGATTCAAAAGGTTTATATATGCCTTGTCCCCACCTTTCATGGTCCGGGCGAAGGCCAAAACATCCTGTTCTGGACTTTAAATTTCTTTCTCATGAAAAGACATTTGTATATAAAATTTGGATCATTGATAATTCACTTGTATTTGTGTTATGAGAAAAACAATAATTTTTCTGAGTTGAATCGTGGCCATTTTGAATTCTGCAGTCATTTTGAAACTTTCAATTTGAGCTGATTTCTTTACCATAATATGGCATCAGGATATACAATTTGAACCAAATTTGTCAACCGATATTTGAGCTGCTTGAGCTGCTAGTTATTTAAGATTCTTCCTCAAGCCTCCATCCATGATAAGGCACAAGCCTATGTTTGAACCAAATCCGTCGACCGTCAATCGTATTTGACTTTTCGTTCGGACACAGGATCGGAAAACGAATGAACAGACGAACGGACAGATGACTTCTCGCTTCTCTTTATCCATTATACGGACTTCGTTTGGTGGGATTATATGTTTTCAAGGAATAAACATATTTGAGAAGTTGACTCAACCAACAAACGGAACAAACAAGTTCTATTAACTTAAATAGAAAGATGTCAGGTTAATCGTAAACGCATAATTTACAAAGCGCTATCGTTTCGTGTAGTTTCGTCCAGTACAAAAGAACTACGATTGGATTAGGAGCCTTTCTTCTAGAGTTAATAACCTCTCAATTATTTAACTATACCGTAAAAAAGATTACCGAAACTATAAACGACTAGTGTATGTTACTTAACACAAAAGCGTGTACGGGGTAACGAAAACCAGATTCTCAGAATCTACGGCGGGCATCAACTTAAATATTATTGGCCTATCAGATTTCCCAATCGATTGGAAAACTGGCAAAACATTAAACCTCCTTACAGAAATGCTCAATTTGCGCTATAGAAACATTATTCTTTTTCAAATAGAGATTTCAAAAGAATTGATAAAGAGTCATCATACTGCACTGTTGGGAGCTATTTCAAATGATTTTTAAAGAGTGCTCAAAGAGGTCGATATACACTGATTTGAAATAAAAGGTACATTGATATTAAACACAGATAAACATAAAGCATTGACATAGAAGAGATATGGCAAAAATAACACATTAAAGTTTTTTTACAAAAGGACCGTTAAATTGCTGAAATATTTTGGGAAACCCAAAATTGGATTTTCAAAGGTTGTAGGTTGTATCTAAAATGATTGAAAAGGTTCAAAAGTATTACCGATACAAAAGGAATTGACGGAGATGAGAACCCACGTGTAGTCTTGAAGAAAACGTTTCGACCTAAATACGGCCTTATGGTGTCTAACATACGTATATATTTAAAATATGGTATAAATCGTGAACTTTTGGAGCCCCATTTACGTGATGTATAAATTGATCACTGGCGTCTCCAATATACAGTCAGACAACAATGAAACTCCGTATTGAATAGAATATTTGATACATTTATGCATGACCTTTTCAGTGACCCCTGGAATCTTATCAAAAGGACTGTGTTGAAATAATAAAATGTCAACTTTGGAACGATATAATGGATTCAGTTGCATAATTATTGGACGAATACACATGGCTATAGGCCACCTGGTAATACAATCCAGACTATATAGATATATAGGGCTATTTACATATGTAGCAGACACCAAGCGGAGTACACAGGCATCTGCAGAGTAAACTAGAGAAACAATACAATTTATAGGACCAACAAAGAACATTTTTCGAATTTTGTCAATGTAGTCTGCCATCTAAAAGTTGAGTAGTCATCTAAGTTTGAGCAGCCATCGACAGCCCATCTATAAGTTGTTACTAAACCATATGCGGCGATTCCAAGACTCAGGTAAAAATAATATTTAGCCCCTTTAGTGGCACGTAATATTCAGTGAGTTTAATGCATGGCAATGTCGGCGTCAACGTAGATATAGACCGTACTACATATGGTCCGATAGTCCTGGAAAATATGGTCTGGGACTATATTTTCTAGAATAACAAAGACCTATGGACTATAATTCACATTAAATTATATTTAGTCCGGTTGCTGGAACTGAATGTCCGGGTGGACTATGATTTCCAAATCATGGTCTCTTTAATGTATTTACAGTCCGTCAGTGTATATAGTCCGGGGTTATATAGCAATACAGAAAATATAGTCCTAGGATGTATGGTCTCCAGGACAATATATTCCACGATTCAGGGGCACTATATTTACTCTGACACCGGTTTGTGAACTTTTATTTTAAGTACAGCTGGACTATTTTTTTCTTATCAATGAACATAATGTGATATAACCTGATAGGTCATTACTACTCCAACTGTCATAAAACCTGACATGGCTATGACATAGTATTAACTCCACACGATGCATTAAGTGTGTCACTTGGACTTCTTCATTGGCATTTTAGAAACGCACGCTGGAAGCTGATTATGAGAGAAGGCTAGAATTAATGAGACAATACCCGATGCATTGTATTTTGGTAACTACATGTAAGTACTTAGCGTGTATTTGTATTGCAAGTAATTGAAGATGTGCCAAGTACACCCGTATATATTGTATAAGACATGGATATGTTTCAAGGTCAACAATGTGAGGATGTGTTAAGCTCACCCAAATTATGATATATGTACGTATGTTACACCTGAAAATGTAATGTGCTAAAGTAGCTCACCCATATACACCTGGGGATATGTTAAGGTCACCCATGTGCGTATGCACCCTGACAATTGGATATGTGTGAAAGCCACCCATGCATGCACTTTATTACACCAGGAGATATATTAAGGCCACCCATGCATGTACTGTATTACACCCGGGGATATATTAAGGCCACCCATGCATGCACTTTATTACACCAGGAGATATATTAAGGCCACCCATGCATGCACTTTATTACACCAGGAGATATATTAAGGCCACCCATGCATGCACTTTATTACACCAGGAGATATATTAAGGCCACCCATGCATGTACTGTATTGCACATGGAGATGTAAATATATTAAGGCCACCCATGCATGCACTTTATTACACCAGGAGATATATTAAGGCCACCCATGCATGTACTGTATTGCACATGGAGATGTAAATATATTAAGGCCACCCATGCATGCACTTTATTACACCAGGAGATATATTAAGGCCACCCATGCATGTACTGTATTGCACATGGAGATGTGTTAAGGCCACCCATGCTTGTACTGTATTACACCAGGTGATGTATTAAGGCCACCTTTGTATGTACTGTTACATCTGAAGATGTGACAAGACCACCTATATATGCACTGTGTTACACCTGGAGATGTATTAAGGCCACACATGCATGTACTGCATTACACCCGGTGATGTATTAAGGCCATCCATGTATGTGCTGTTACACCTGAAGATGTGTTAAGGCCACCCATGCATGTACTGTATTACACCCGGGGATGTGTTAATGCCACCCATGCATGTACTGTATTACACCCGGTGATGTATTAAGGCCACCCATGCATGTACTGCATTACACCCGGTGATGTATTAAGGCCGCCCATGCATGTACTGTATTACACCTGGAGAGATGTGCTAAGGCCACCCGTGTATGTCCTGTATTACACCTTGAGATAAGTTAAGCCCACCCATTTGTGTATTGTATTACACTTGGAGATGAGTTAATTAGGTCACTCATGTATGCACTGTATTACATTTGAAGATGTATTAATTGGGTCACCCATGCATGGTCTGTATTACACCCGGGGATGTATTAAGGCCACCTGTGTATGTACTGTATTACATCTGGAGATAAGTTAAGCCCACCCATTTGTGTATTGTATTAAACTTGGAGATGTGTTAATTAGGTCATCCATGCATGTACTGTATTGCACTTGGAGAAGTGTTAATTAGGTCATCCATGCATGTACTGTATTGCACTTGGAGATGTGTTAATTAGGTCACCCATGCATGTACTGTATTGCACTTGGAGATGTGTTAATTAGGTCACCCATGCATGTACTGTATTGCACTTGGAGATGTGTTAATTAGGTCACTCATGCATGTACTGTATTGCACTTGGAGATGTGTTAATTAGGTCACCCATGCATGTACTGTATTGCACTTGGAGATGTGTTAATTAGGTCACCCATGCATGTACTGTATTGCACTTGGAGATGTGTTAATTAGGTCACCCATGCATGTACTGTGTTGCACTTGGAGAAGTGTTAATTAGGTCACCCATGCATGTACTGTATTGCACTTGGAGATGTGTTAATTAGGTCACCCATGCATGTACTGTATTGCACTTGGAGAAGTGTTAATTAGGTCACCCATGCATGTACTGTATTGCACTTGGAGATGTGTTAATTAGGTCACTCATGCATGTACTGTATTGCACTTGGAGATGTGTTAATTAGGTCACCCATGCATGTACTGTATTGCACTTGGAGAAGTGTTAATTAGGTCACTCATGCATGTACTGTATTGCACTTGGAGATGTGTTAATTAGGTCATCCATGCATGTACTGTATTGCACTTGGAGATGTGTTAATTAGGTCACCCATGCATGTACTGTATTGCACTTGGAGATGTGTTAATTAGGTCACCCATGCATGTACTGTATTGCACTTGGAGAAGTGTTAATTAGGTCACCCATGCATGTACTGTATTGCACTTGGAGATGTGTTAATTAGGTCACCCATGCATGTACTGTATTGCACTTGGAGAAGTGTTAATTAGGTCACCTATGCATGTACTGTATTGCACTTGGAGATGTGTTAATTAGGTCACCCATGCATGTACTGTATTGCACTTGGAGATGTGTTAATTAGGTCACCCATGCATGTACTGTATTGCACTTGGAGAAGTGTTAATTAGGTCACCCATGCATGTACTGTATTGCACTTGGAGATGTGTTAATTAGGTCACCCATGCTTGTACTGTATTGCACTTGGAGATGTGTTAATTAGGTCACTCATGCATGTACTGTATTGCACTTGGAGATGTGTTAATTAGGTCACCCATGCATGTACTGTATTGCACTTGGAGATGTGTTAATTAGGTCACCCATGCATGTACTGTATTGCACTTGGAGATGTGTTAATTAGGTCACCCATGCATGTACTGTATTGCACTTGGAGAAGTGTTAATTAGGTCACCCATGCATGTACTGTATTGCACTTGGAGATGTGTTAATTAGGTCACCCATGCATGTACTGTATTGCACTTGGAGAAGTGTTAATTAGGTCACCTATGCATGTACTGTATTGCACTTGGAGATGTGTTAATTAGGTCACCCATGCATGTACTGTATTGCACTTGGAGATGTGTTAATTAGGTCACCCATGCATGTACTGTATTGCACTTGGAGAAGTGTTAATTAGGTCACCCATGCATGTACTGTATTGCACTTGGAGAAGTGTTAATTAGGTCACCCATGCATGTACTGTATTGCACTTGGAGATGTGTTAATTAGGTCACCCATGCATGTACTGTATTGCACTTGGAGATGTGTTAATTAGGTCACCCATGCATGTACTGTATTGCACTTGGAGAAGTGTTAATTAGGTCACCCATGCATGTACTGTATTGCACTTGGAGATGTGTTAATTAGGTCACCCATGCATGTACTGTATTGCACTTGGAGAAGTGTTAATTAGGTCACCCATGCATGTACTGTATTGCACTTGGAGATGTGTTAATTAGGTCACTCATGCATGTACTGTATTGCACTTGGAGATGTGTTAATTAGGTCACCCATGCATGTACTGTATTGCACTTGGAGATGTGTTAATTAGGTCACTCATGCATGTACTGTATTGCACTTGGAGATGTGCTAATTAGGTCATCCATGCATGTACTGTATTGCACTTGGAGATGTGTTAATTAGGTCACCCATGCATGTACTGTATTGCACTTGGAGATGTGTTAATTAGGTCACCCATGCATGTACTGTATTGCACTTGGAGAAGTGTTAATTAGGTCACCCATGCATGTACTGTATTGCACTTGGAGATGTGTTAATTAGGTCACCCATGCTTGTACTGTATTGCACTTGGAGATGTGTTAATTAGGTCACTCATGCATGTACTGTATTGCACTTGGAGATGTGTTAATTAGGTCACCCATGCATGTACTGTATTGCACTTGGAGATGTGTACATTAGGTCACCCATGCATGTACTGTATTGCACTTGGAGATGTGTTAATTAGGTCACCCATGCATGTACTGTATTGCACTTGGAGAAGTGTTAATTAGGTCACCCATGCATGTACTGTATTGCACTTGGAGATGTGTTAATTAGGTCACCCATGCATGTACTGTATTGCACTTGGAGAAGTGTTAATTAGGTCACCTATGCATGTACTGTATTGCACTTGGAGATGTGTTAATTAGGTCACCCATGCATGTACTGTATTGCACTTGGAGATGTGTTAATTAGGTCACCCATGCATGTACTGTATTGCACTTGGAGAAGTGTTAATTAGGTCACCCATGCATGTACTGTATTGCACTTGGAGATGTGTTAATTAGGTCACCCATGCATGTACTGTATTGCACTTGGAGATGTGTTAATTAGGTCACCCATGCATTTACTGTATTGCACTTGGGGATGTGTTAATTAGGTCACCCATGCATGTACTGTATTGCACTTGGGGATGTGTCAAGGCCACCCATACATGTACTGTATTACACTTGGAGATGTGTTAATTAGGTCACCCATGCATGTACTGTATTGCACTTGGGGATGTGTTAATTAGGTCACCCATGCATGTACTGTATTGCACTTGGGGATGTGTCAAGGCCACCCATGCATGTACTGTATTACACCCGAATATGTGATAAGGCCATCCATATGTTATACTTTAAGTTATTGAATGATTTTAAGTGCAATACAGGATATATTCTGCTCGAGAATTCCGTATTTGAACGAGACGAAGTCGAGTGCCAATACAGAATATCGAGATCAATCAATCAGAAGGTTTCATTTTACAGATCATACGATAAATTTTAATGCAATTGTTGACTGTAGCTTCCATTAATCATCGCATTCTACAATACACTACAATACTAAAGGATAGGTATCGATATGGAGAACTGAATTCAACAATGTTTTTCTCTTAAACCAATCATTGAAAACATTCTGTAAAAAACATGGTATTTTATGTAATGTTGACTGATTGACAACAACTTAATGCGAAAATTATTTAGAAATATTTTATATAACTGTTTTTGTTAACATTTTTTTGTTTTTTTAGTGCAGTTGTGTTTGCTCCTTTCTACCAATTCTTGAGAATGAAATAAAATGTCTTTCCGAACCTTGTTGGGACAAAATAGCATATACAACATGTTTTTAGACCTCTCAATATTAAAGCTATACAAAAGAATTTTTGGTTGATTTTAAAATAAGTATTCAAAAAATTAAAACAAATCCCCCCAAAATAGATAAAAATCAAGAAAAACCTTTTATTTCATTAACAAGATACTTTTTAAATCAACCAAAATTTCCTTTGTACAATTACAATATTGAGAGACCTAAACATGTTGTGTTTATGTCGTTTTGTTCCAATGAGGTTCGGAAAGATGTTTCATTTCACTCTGGAAACATGATAGCAAGAACAAAACAAGTGTTTGATGTGTTTTTCAAAACAATAGATGAAAGTATGTATATCTATTTCAAATTATATTGTTACCATTCAAAAGATGGCCATTAAATTGACAATTTGTAAGATTTTCAGAAATTTTTGATGACTGGTTTAAGAGAAACGTGTGTTCAAAAAGTTCGCCATATCGATACCCTATAGGAGTTATAGAAACTGGGAACTTCATTCAATTTACAATTTCGTGCAAATGTCACTGCTGAGAAGAAATGCTCGTGATGAAAACATTTGAGAAATTGATGCGTTATTATAAACAGTCAAAGTTTATGTTTATGTGTACCTATGTTTATTAATATTATGACATATCCTTATGCTATTGAGGTGATAGTCGTCGCACTCTATCTTGATGATGTACAAGCCATTTATTAACATTCATTTACCGTTTACAGCATCAGGTTACACGTGTGGGATATGTTGGTGGGATTGGTATGAGTATTGACTTTGGCTTACCCCGAAAGTGGGCATCACAAAGGCAACATTCTAAAAAATAAACCAAAATATTCAAAAGTGAGACTCTGTTTGTTGCCCAATTAGGCCCCCTTTTGGGAATGTAATGGTATTTCCAAAAAACAAAATTTTTGCTCTGCCTTTGTCAGTTTCCAGGAGCAATTTTCTTGAATGTAACGTCAATTACGATTCGCGAATTGACAATTTTTGATTTGTTGCATTAAATGCATTTCTTTCCAGGATATGGTGATCGAGTGTCTGATTGTACGTATGACTGGCGATTGAAGCACCCCGATGACCGCTTATAAAGCAGATACAGTCAGAATACAGTGACTTAAAAAGGTAATACAATAGTTTAAACTACTAAATCTATCGTTTCAACTCTTTTTTCAGTTTTATTCCTGGAAAATTTTCGGTTGGCGCAATTAAATTTTTGAGGGTGACGAAGTCAATATTTCAGTATATAGTACTAATTACTGGCATTCTTGTCTCTGTTTTAACATTATCTATAATATTAATTGCACAATCTTGTTGTCTTTACATTTTCAGACTATCAGATTCAGTAGCCTTAATTGCGACGCGCTGACCAATTTAGAAGATGGCGAGACATAACATTGTCATATCCCTGTTGACAACGTTCGTGTTTTTTGTGCAACATATCAAAAAAGGATCATTTCAAGATTTCGTCAACAACGATTGCTCATACAAATCCAAATTCAGTATGACTATTTTTGCTCTTGAAAACATTTACGACTGCAGTGAACGATCTCTCATCAGTGTCCCCGATCTGAGTCATGTGAACAATAACGTTAGCGTCATTGATTTGTCGAAAAACGCAATAACTCGTATCCCAACTGATGTGTTCAATGGGATCCCAGATTCAGTTACAAAATTAGTCATATCGAATAATCCCCAATTAAAAACAATTGGCGATTATGCATTTAGGGGAACGAAAATAACTAGTTTGGTACTGTCAAACAACGAAGCTCTGTCAACGATTGGTCGAAATTCCCTGCAGGGATTGCCAAATCTCAAAAACGTTGACTTATCATCTAGTGGTATTCAATTAATAGCGCATGGGGCGTTCGATAATCTTACTCTGGATAGCATTAATTTAAAGGACAACAGGCTTGTCACAATTGGATCGATGACTTTCCCGAGATCACCAAAATCGTTAGTTCTTATGTTGAATGATATTGAAAACATCGAGGCGGGTGCTTTTGGACCAGGGATCGAACACATCGTACTAAGTGAAAATCCCATAAAGAATTTGAACCCCGATGCGTTCAATGAAGCAGTGGATATAAGAAAACTCGATCTAGATAACTGTGACTTTGATGGAGCAATACCAGCACACATGTTTGACAAATTATCTCAGCTTAAATCGTTAGATCTGAAAAATTCGAACTTGAGGAGAGTTTCAAATGGAACGTTTACTCCTTACATTGAGGTCTTGGACATCAGCACGAATGACCTTAACGATGACGAGTTTGGGCACTCGCTTTCAGCTTTCACAGATTTGTCTAGTGTAAGGGAACTGACGCTTAACCATTGCAATTTGACCGAATCATGGTTTGGGGTGACACCATATCTCAAGAACTTACACACATTAAGGTTACAAGGGAACAGAATTGCAGAAATCCAACCAGGTACATTCAGCACAAATAAACAACTAGAGGTTATCATTCTCTCAGAAAACAATGGTATTGAGTTGCACGAGGGTGCTTTCAATGGTGTCGAAAGCTCGCTATTAATACTTGACATTAGCTCCTGTAATATGAACGAATTCCCAATTGAAGCTTTGAAGACACTCAGGGGCATGTCTGGGCTTAACCTGGGAGGTAACAACATTGTGGGGCTACCTCAGAAGGCATTCTCCAGGATGTCGATCAAGGGTAAATTGACATTGGATATATCGTATAATGGTCTCGTTTCTGTCCATCCACTCGCTCTGAAGAACATGGCGTTTCCAGTAAAACTAGTGATGAGCCATAACAACGTTAGTGATTTGACATTCGCAACGTCTTTATTGGATTCTCCTTGTACCACTGAAGGGTCGTGGATCTATGCGGCTTGGAATCCAATCAACTGTAATTGTAAACTTCATGATCTTTTACATTATACGAACATCAGATTTTCAGGAAAATGTGCATCTCCCGTGAATATCTCTGACACCGACTTGAGACGATATCCCGGGGAAACGAGAGAGTACAAATACGATTATAAGTTTTTTGAGAAAGAAGGTACAAACTTTTGTGGAAAAAACACACTGAAACGATACAATTGTGATTGTTCTAAGGTATTAGAAAACTCAACTGACGTCGGCTATACAGAAATCCAATCACCCAAGTGCCTGAACCACAGAACATTTATGTCCGGAACATCGACTGTCTCTCCGTCTCTGATTATGTCGACGATGATTTTAATTAATATGATAACGCGCAACTTAATTTAGATAGGTGTTGTGGCTTGTATTATAATGGTGATTGTATTTGATTAATACCATTACCCTATTAATCATACCATGCACAATTTACAATCATATTTTCACTACATTTTTTATAAGTCAGATGTAATACGTTAACTATAGAAAATAAATATATTCTCTGCACTTAAAGGAGTAGTATGACCTTATAGATCCACTGTGCTTGAGAAGTACTCGTATGGCGTATGCCAAAATAGATTTAAAATGATAACTGTAAAATATAACACCACACAATATATAATGTTGGACAATAGCTGTATTCATCGTTCTCTTATATATGGAATATTTTCCAATTTACCAATTTTTTCCTCCTTCAGTGACAAACGCATTTATTATATCTTTTAACTTTCCAAGAATTAATCCGTGAGAGTCTACTGAAATTCTATGCAAACTTTCATTCCATTCAAACTTCTGTAAGTATTAGTATAAATTATTTTATGAAGTGCCTGATATTTCAGATATATGAGTAATGGTACAGATGATTTACGTTGACAGCAGAGAATGAGTAGATTGTCGGGATAGAATTGTTTTCGATATATAGATGGCATCATGTATGTTTATTCATAATACTATTATTATTATTATTCGATCAATACCAGCTTTCCCGGGGCATCGGATTACACTATTCAACTGAATATCTATCCTATACAGATAGGTTAAGCTACACGTTTCTTAGAGAAGTTGAGAGGTCAAGTTTATCCATTGGGGTCATAATATTCCACGTTCACGTACAAGTTATTTTAAAAAACGTGAAGCTTGACCTCCCCATTAAAATGAAAAGAAAAACCGTAACCTCGAGTATGTACACCCTTACCCTACTATCACACCAAACTAGTTCTCACTAACGGGCTTCAACTGTGTACGAACGGACTGGACGTACTTAGAACCGTTTGGGGTCTATTTACAAACTTCATCGAACGTACTCGAACGGGAAAGTCCTCTAGAACTTAGAACATGCTCAGAATGTTCTCTTGGTCGTCACGTTCTACAATTAGAACGAGTGACAACCTACTAACGACGAGCTGGACATACTACGGACGGAACCGTCGTACTTCAATCCTACTAGGAACGTTTTTACAACGAGTTGAACTGTCTGAGGACGTGTTGAGAACGAGGTAGAACTAATTGCAAACGGGTTAAAACTGATTAAGAACGTATTTATCAACGAGTTAGCAAAAATATAGCTATCACACCAAGCAAGTTGCCACTGCGTTCTTCAAAACTGGTTTTAAACTTTGTGCGAACAGAATGAACGTAGCTACAACGTTCTACGGTCTGTTTACGAACTTCATGGAATTTCCCGGACGGGGAATGTGATTTAGAATTTTGAATCGATGGCGACCATACCGTTCTGTAATCAGGTCACGATGACCTTCTAGACTAAGCGACGCGTTATACGACGTTGCACACCGACGCGGTGCGACCTGAACGAACTGTGAATGAGATGGACGTATTGAAGACTGTTTATGAACAAAGTAGCTAATTATTTTAGACATATTTCCCGACCACAGCCAGATTGAGCCCGTTTTACGACGTTTTCGTAGGACTGGCAAGAACGGGTAAGAACTAGTTTGGTGTGATAGGCAGGGTGATAGGGGGTAATTGTAAAATTGGTATAGCCATAGTATGAAAATATTAAGAGTGTTACAAAACAGAACTGCTACGTTAAAAGTGGAAGGGAAAGTGCTTCGAAATGTGATGTTCCTTCAACTCGTTGTCTTGCTCGGGGCTTCTCGGAAACTAGGAATTAAAGATGGAGCAAAGGGGTGTCGACTTTTGGCTTGCAACCGAAGATACCTCAAGAAAAGCCAGAGACTGCCGAAGATTGCCGAAGATTTTCTTTGCAAACGAACTTAGCCTAGGGTACCACGAATGTGAAGAGGACGTCTCTAATTGGTCAAAAAGAGAGGCTCGACATTCTCTGTCAGATTGAATCGGCAAAATTCGGTCGTATGGCTTACCTTCGGTTGTATGGCTTACCTTCGGCTGCATGGCCCAACCTCGATGGAATGGAAAAGATGCTTTCCCATAGCAAAATACTGTTAATGCGCGCGCAGAATAAATCGGTATAGAATAGAAAGAATCAAAAGAAAGAATTTCCTAAGATGGTACATTAATTATTCCAATCAAATGAAGCGTACTAAGTACGTCACGATTGAGGCAACTCAGTCAGTTAAATACGTCTTTACGCTGGTATATGGGAGAATGCTTCCCATGGGGCGTGGCTTATTGGCCATTTACGGAGCAATATTAGCCCCAGGGATTATGCTATACGCAGTCCACTTGAAGATGAAAGATTCGGAGACAGGCAAATACTCATTTAATCAAACAAGCAGCTTATCTATTAATCTATACGATTGATCTGAAATCTTGCAAAATGCGATACAACCTTTGAAATAGAAAAACCTTATTTAAATGTAACACGATGCTTCCATTTTAGATTTCATGATGTACTGTTCAATTTCAACCCAGGAACTCTTTCCGACCAATTTATTCCTTTGAGACTTTAATATTTCATTTAGAAAGCGGAATATCTTGGATTACATTGGACATATTGGAGGGGTTATCATAGAATTCAATACGAGGACTATCTTGATCAATTGATCCTTTGTACAACTGGGGAGACGAGGGAACGCTAGTTTGAATGAACAAGGGAGTCGCTTATCGCAACTTCCAATAAATGGGGCCAAACTGAAGAGATATCAGCCGCAAATTCCGCAGCATGTGTTCCATGTTATCAAACTGACTACTTCTTCACGAAAGCAATCGAAGTATTGGAAAACGGTACAAATCAAAAGAGTCGGTGGAAATATTTACGTTTGAAAATTACATCAAATATCGTTTATAAAGAAAGGAATGAGAACAGCTTCAGAATAGTTTTCTTGATGTCTGTATCTTGTCATTACAAGGACATTTGAATCGGATACACAATTCTGTCGGCTCACAATAGGGCGCATCAGGATGTAAGCTAGGGGACAGCAACATAAATGATGTAAGTTATAGCCGTTGTAGCAGCTATAGATGAGCACCTTAGACTGATAGAAGTAATAACATTCTAATAAAGGGAAAAATAATCCTATCAGAAAACGTAATGATGTTTATTAAGTCCCTTTAAGCCTTTCGGGAGGAATCCGTAAGTGTGTGTAATCAACGAGCCATACACTATGCGTTCATTTTCCGAACACTTTACACTTTTTGTAAGAAAGGATAATGTAAGTCTGTGTATCTTGTAGCTCTGCATTCGAAAGTTGATATTCACCTAATGATCTGGACTTGTCTTCAGCTGTAATGTTATTTTAGATTGGTGGTTTCCTTTCGTTTACCATATGTCCAATAGTAGGCGCTGGGGGATCCATTAGCTAATAAGGGGGCACATATCAAGACAGGAAAAAACATTCTGCGCTGTTTTGATAATTTGGCCTAAAAAGGCCCCAAAGGACCAAGTTATGCCCAAAAAGGCCCATTTTTTCAGGCCCTTCAAAGTTTTCGGGGCCTCAAACATTTTCTGAGCCCACCCAAGGCCCCCTGGACCCGCCACTTCATACAGCTTGGAAACCCCGACAACCGATACCATATTTGTTATAACTTTTAATATTTTGAGAATTTAAGTCATGAAAGTTGATAGACATATTGTATTGATGTCATTCAACAATACGAAACAATTCTATTATTAAATAATCATATCCGTTAAAATCAGGGCATTCTAATCTTAACTTCCTGGATACCATGCATCTACATTGTAATTGATGAGTCTACCAAATTCTAGAAAAAACAAAAACACAAAAATCCATGGATCTCACTCGTTACCAGGTAACCGAGTCTTAAATTAAGCATTCGTTCCGTGTATTCATAGTTCGCTATTTTACACCACCTTCTACTACTCATCACCTGTTTCCAGAATTCATCCGCCATGGATAATTTTGTTTTTTATTTTCCAGCAACACCTGACTTATAAACCGATTGGAAACAAACAAGAGAAACAAATTCCCAATCTGTTCTGGGTGAATGATACTTTAAATGTGCTAGAATCTCACAGAAGTTCTACGTTCGTGAATTTGATTTGTGGTCGTCTGCCAGGAAAATAGAGAAAGATGAAAATGGGATCGGAATTGATGAAATATATGGCCATAACATATTAGATATCAAAGTACTATTTGATAAAATATCTGGGTTCATTGATCTCCAGAACAGTGAAATCTAGAAAATCTAAAATCAATCAATCTATTCAGAATCAGGAATTTCTTATAATTAGACCCATACGTGTAATTTTAGTTTTGTATTTTCGTTTCGGTCGAGGTGACGTATTTTCTCAGCTTAGTTGTTGTATTTTAAGTCATGACGTCATTTTTCCATCTGTTAAAAAGATGAATCCTACCGTACACCTGGCTATACTTTAACATCTAATCTGACAGAATGATACATGAAATAGATCATTGATTTATGTTTAACGGTGTACGTTAATTCAGCTCTCATTTTGTAACACGTCGTGCTTTATCTTATAATTTTCAAAAGTATTACGTTCCTCCTTGGCCGATATACCTTGCTATAATCCTGCGTCAAAACGGAAATTGAGGAAACAATGAGAATTTTGATACCAAATTGTCTCGTTTTTGTTTTGCTGTTGAGATAGGGTCCCTAATTTCCTAATCTCGTGCTGAAATACCATCTCAATGTACCTTCAGATGGACCAATGACGTTGAAAGAATCCTATTATAGACTGTAATCGGACGTAATCCCCCGATCCGTCGATTGAGTAGTATTTGACCTTATTTTCTAATTAAATCAGATCTTTTGTTAGAAAAACAGTCTCTTGGGAGTGTAATTGATCTATGATATATTGAACACTGAAATAGCGTATTATCGACGTGCAATTATGTTACCGGCCTATACTATGTTAGACTCTGTGAAGCAGCTGGGCGCTCAGTTCGGCCTGAGTATCGATGAGGCGGAGAGTGCCTCACCGGATCATTTACTAGGCAGTCAATTAGGCGACGTAACAGAGTATAAACGTATTAAAATAAGCTCTCGGCGTTCTAGTTCCTCGTCGGAAGACGATGGCGACGATGAGGATGTAAAATGTGGCGCAGAGAGTAACATAAAACAACTAGAACACAGCAACACAGTTCGTGTTGCACGACAAAAGTTGCAAGGGATATACCCGCATATAAACAAGCTCGCTTGTAATAAAGTTCAAACGCCAGGCGCTGTAGCAGCATCAAAACACAACATGGCTATGGATGGAGGGGATTACGGTGGAACTTTTACCTTTGAGGATTACCTCACCCAGGCTAAGGGAAGCTCACATGACCTGCAGGATACCTCGCAGTACGATGACTCGGGTGGCTCACAAAGGAGATTCCGGGAGAGGAAAGAGGGGTTGGGAAGGAATACTAACACCTCAAAAAGTTGCTATGCTCGAAGACCAAAAAAGCAACATGACGTCGAGATATATCTTGATACCGATTCGAATTCTGAACACCGTGCGAGATCAGGGAGTGTAGGAGAGGTTGAACTACGCCTAAGTAGGAACCACCTTTTCCCGGATTATAATCAAGAAGAAGACGGTTGTCTTGGATTACGTCGTGTTCGAAGTTTCAAAACGACTTCTAAAGGAGAGATAGTTAACCGAGGCGACTCGTTTAAACGTAAGCAAGGTCGCTACGGGGGTGAAGGGCGCTATGGAGGTGCAGCGTCCAACAACGCAGACACACAACCCAGACCTCAGTTTACAGCTGGGGGTCAGGATTCCTCCACTACCCCCGGGGATACTACAGAGGCGTATAAAGTTCTTATGCTAGGGAGGGCGGGCGTAGGGAAAACTGCCCTTGTTCAACAATTTGCAACGTCGGAATACATGGGGGCTGATACGCCAGGCTTAGGTAAGTTCAAGAAATCGTTCATGTACTTATAATTTCCTACCTGAGTTCGATTAGCAAAGGCTTATGGTGAAACGAGTAAACAGCAGGTCGAAATAGCAACTTGTTCAGGTATGCTAGAATCCTTTTTAGGCTTCCTAAGGTGATTTAGTACCTACATTAAACAAAATAAGCTGTTACTACATAAAATTATCTCATAAAACGCCCGAAATATTTAAGCTCCTTATGATGTTTAAATATTACAGATTAGAGGGGGAAATTGGGGTTAAAAATACACTGCATCCGAGATACTCATACGCACCTATGTGTTGCACAATTCCATGCAGCATTGATGCTATTTATGAGATCAACAGAAGCAGCAACATTTTTCCACCCGATCCGCTATCTTAGCGAGATATCGAACTATGTATACCTGTATAGAAAAATACACTATCAGGTAATTTTTGTCTCGAGGAAATATTTCTAATCAATACGAAAATGTGATTTGCGTCAGGTAAAAATGATGTGACTGTAATTTGACGATCGAATCATAATATTTATATTCATAAATTATATCATAATATTGTCATATTTGAGTAAGCGTACGTTGAATAATTCAGCTAGTTTATAGATCGTAATTCAAGGTGCATAATATTTAGCAGGATTAGTAAGGGTAGTATGAAAAATAGCTTTCATTATCAATTTAACAACAGCTGAAGAAACAATCACATTTTAGCCTTACGACAAAGGAATAAATTAGATTTCATATGGACGAAGCTTTTTCTAATGTTGCCACTGATGAATTTCTCATTCACGTTGTTAACAAATAAGTGTACTTAGAATTTTATCTGTTAGAGAAAAAACACGAAGTTTAGAACCTTGACTTTCTGCATGTAGTTTTGCTTCAAGACCCTGGATCCTCCCTCTTATCTACTTTAACAATAACTTTTGTGAAGTAAATAAGGAGGTGGGCGGGTGGGTGCGAGGGGGTGGAGTAGTCTAGTCATAATATAAATCCGACCGTTTATGCTGTTGTTCGATGTTCCTTGTTCTTATTTGGATATATAGTTTTACATCTGCACTAACAGGTTGACCCGGAAGTGACCTTGGTACGGCAAAATAAAAAAAATTCGAGCAGCATGCTTGTATTTTTTTTACCAAGCGTTTTACGTGTTTAAGGTAAGATTAAATACTTAAAGTTAAAGCAAGGAAATTAATATATCATTTGTGTGAATTTGGTTGGGTAGACAGACCAGGAAAGCGTTTTCTGCAATATAGAAGCGGCTAATGTTTACGACCACAGTATGAAGAAAATAAAAAATATATCCAAATAAGAAAAAATAACAACAAATAACAGCACACAGAGGTCGGATTTATATGACTAGGGTGGAGGGTCCGTGGTCTTGAAGCAGGAGTAACATGTCTGATTGCATTGCTAGAGTGTATACGCGATACTTAACCCCCGATAATAATGAATGTACCTGAAGAAGGGATATAAATTACCTCGTTCCTAGTCAGCCTACCATCTGTGTATTTTGCGTACATTTGCCTTGTAAAAGTTTATGTTTCCATTCTAACAGGTATGTACTTAGAGAACACACGAGTGTTTAATACATGTTTACGTAAATACACATTTAAACATTAAACACATATGCATTTTTACCAGTTGATTTATTGAGCTTATGTCACGAAAGGCTCGGATATAGGGTTTATCCTCCCTGTGTAATCTATCTATATTTTCCTCAGGATATACACATTCAAAACCGCCCATCCACATTTGTAACCCCCGGGGGTCCAAAGAAGTATAAGATACTAAACGATATATATATATATATATATTTATGTGATTATCGTTTATATAAACACATGTAATTGGCCTTGAGAATTTTCAATAGGTGGCTTAAATCCCAGGTAATTTTATCGTATACTTACATTAATTCAATATTTATTTGATAATCTCAAAGAACAGCCTGCATGGTTGAAACCATTACACTTAATATCGACTTGATACAGTTGATATATTGCATGCTATAACAGAATTATGAATGGAAATTGAAATTAGCTCGATTAATGGAGAGAATAATTGATAAGCTATATCATACTTTATCTTTTTTTAGGAGAATACCTATGCATCTTTCACGAGTTATTTATCAAGATGGCGGAGGGGAAATATCAATTTTAAAATTAAAGTGACACGAAAATAGAATGAAATATTTGTTTTATTATTCACTGTACATTTTCCATAATGAAACAAGGGCGTGGGATTAGGAATGTATGAATATAAGAAGAAGGGAAATATCAATTTTAAAATTATTAAGTGACACGAAAATAAAATGAAATATTTGTTTTATTATTCACTGTGGAATTCCCTTAATGAAACAAGGGTGTGGGACTAGGAATGTATGAATATAACTGCCTTGGCATATATAATAGTGTCTATTGATTTGTAAAAAGAAATAAATGAGAAATCAATAATATCTAGATCATGATAAGATAAAGATAATAGAAATATGTACACACGTTGTTCTTTTGTATACCGTCGCTTCTTGGATTTCTAAGGTGTGAGGTTTGCATAATAGGAAGCGAATATCGAATGTAAGCATTTAACACCTATACGTGCAATTATCAAAATCAATATTCAGAAACTAGAATATATTTTAGATGAATCACATATATACATTTATAGATCAAATCAAAGGGAAGCTTAATTTCATTGCCAAACCATTGTTATCTATTGGATTGTTGATATTGAATAGAGGAAATAAAGCACCTTGCGAATTGTACTATTGATTTGGATTAGGCTAGTTGTAGTTACGTTGATAATTACCTCGAGTTGTATGCTATTAAACATATTGAAGAGTCCTTGTAAGGTTTTGTTAATAGAGTTCTCGGCTTGATATCACTGTATATGATAGACAATATTGCAAGCTCAGAAATGTTAATATCATATCAATATCTGCCCAGTCTACCGCTCGTTCATTCTGATGTTTATTCATCTCGACGAATTTTACATGTGAAAATTCAAACGAGCCATTGAAATTGTCTACCGGCCATCTTGTTTTTCTGTAACGATTGTTACGTTGCCAAGCGGAGCCATATATTCTTCCTATAATCAACAAAAAGTAATACGAACGACTCACATCCTTGCTCAATATAACCAATTTAAATATAGTATTGAATACACGATTATCATCAATGTGGAAAAACATATTTCCACCATCCAGTTGTAGACTGAGAAATAGTGCATTATACATTTTTGAGTTTGTCATTTAGGCCATAAGAAGTAGATTCTTTGTTTTGCGTCCCCTTGCTTGCACGATTTGGAGTAAATCAGAAAAAACAAACACATAAAAATAGTACATGGGTCTGAAAGTACATGTGCCATCGCATTTCTTTAAATCAGAATCAGAGGAAATGACGAACAATTTGATGTTGACAGTCTTATTGATTACTTTGGCATACATTGTGTATTTTCTTATTTTTTACCCTTGAATAATAAGTATGTTTAAATATATTGTATAAAATGTTTGTATAAAATGTATAAATATTTGTTTGTAATGACTGCAAATTGATATATCATCCCATTTTATGCCTATAAAATGTATACATTTCTCAGCAAACAAGTTTGTGTTTTTTTCTTCAGTTTTTGTTTGTTTTCCTTGTACCCTTGCATGATTTGGATTTTGCCAGGACGCAAAACAAAGAATCTACTTCTTATGGCCTTAGGATTTTTTCGGGATTTTTGAAAAATAACGCTAAATGGATCTGAAAAGAGAGTGAAGCCTGCTTAGCCCATATTAACTGACGTTATTGTACTCATTCAGCCATTAAGTAAAAGATCACCAGCATTTTAAGATTAAAGTGTCCGCTAAACTGACACTTCGAGACTGTTGACATAATATACAGCCAATTAAATGTTCTTATTGGAATGTTCATTTCTTTTCAAGCCATGCTCGATGGCAATAGCGACATAAGACATACCACCTTGTCTTATTCAAAAGTGCACATGGTTCAATTGTGTGTCAAACCCTCTCTTCTCTAAAGAAGAGAGGAACTGGTGTATTTCTGACACGCCATTGTTTTACAACATCATGGAAATGTAAGCATGTTCCCGATACGCAATAGTGTCACTACATGACACAATGTCGGTCTGTTTCCGGCATGCCATTGTGTCCCTACATGGGGATGCTGGCATTTCAATGGCATAATGTTGGTGTATTCCCTACACGTTATTGTGTCACTACATGACATAATGTTGGTGTATTTCCTACATGCTATTGTGTCACTACATGGCATAATGTTGGTATATTCCTTACATGCTATTGTGTCACTACATGGCATAATGTTGGTATACTGTATTCCATACACGCTGTCACTTCATGACATGTCGTTGGTATGTTCCCTACACGCTATTGTGTCACTACGTTGGATAATGTTGGTCTGTTTCGCCCACGCCATTGTGTCACTACATGGCATAATGTTGGTGTATTCCCTACACGTTATTGTGTCACTACATGACATAATGTTGGTATATTCCCTACATGCTATTGTGTCACTACATGGCATAATGTTGGTATACTGTATTCCATGCACGCTGTCACTTCATGACATGTTGTTGGTATGTTCCCTACACGCTATTGTGTCACTACGTGGGATAATGTTGGTCTGTTTCGCCCACGCCATTGTGTCACTACATGGCATAATGTTGGTGTATTCCCTACACGTTATTGTGTCACTACATGACATAATGTTGGTGTATTCCCTACATGCTATTGTGTCACTACATGGCATAATGTTGGTATACTGTATTCCATACACGCTGTCACTTCATGACATGTTTTCCGTATGTTCCCTACACGCTATTGTGTCACTACGTGGGATAATGTAGGTCTGTTTCGCCCACGCCATTGTGTCACTACATGGCATAATGTTGGTGTATTCCCTACACGTTATTGTGTCACTACATGACATAATGTTGGTGTATTCCCTACACGTTATTGTGTCACTACATGACATAATGTTGG